CTCCTATTCTTTCTTCCCATTTAGACCTAAACTTCCTAAAGGTAATAGTTTAGAGTTTACTTGCCCGCACCCCCCAAAAATTTACACGCACCCACCCCCACCCAGAAAAATGGGGCGGTTTAGCTGATGACACCTTACATTGAAAATCCTGTTTTTACCCGCAGAATTTCGTCTTTTCAATACAAGCAACATCGCTCTACCTTAATCATTTCTTCTCCCTTTTTTTCACACGGCCAATTGCACCAGCACTTTACACCAGCACTTTGCACTAATACTAGCACTCTACACGCTATTACGCTAGTACTTTATACGTATCCACAACAACAGTCTATACTTACTACCTCTCAACGTACGTAATCTCACTCAAATCAATTGATTTTGATTACTTTCAAACACTAACAACCATACAAATGCCTCGATACAACTAGGAATAATGCCGTTGCTGTCGCGCTTCTTTCTCCTCCATATTCCTATCGCTATTACTATTATTGTTATTATTATCGCAGTAAGAGTAGGTTATACCAGCCGACAATAGATTCTTCAATATAGTACTAAACTCTAATTTCTTCGACATTTTTAAGTAACTACTTAGATTATATCGCCGCTACCAATTTAGTATTGTTATTCAAGGGTCGTACATATTCAATAAGGGAGACAATAAAGGTGAATATTGAAAATATATCTTTTAATTTAGTCTCGCCTAATGCAAATAATACCCAGAATCGAATCTATATAAGAAATGAAATACTACAATACGATAGATCGCACTAAACTACCCGTTTCGTATTGTTATAGAATTACTCGAGAGAAACGGCTGCAAATAGACTATACAGCTGTTGAATTGTATATATCGAGGCTATAAACCATCGGATTATTTATATAGCCACTCTATATTTCGTATAAGGGTTATTAATATACACTAAATAGTATATATTAATGGCCTTCTTAAGTAATGTAATTTAACCGTTAAATCTATTTATACTACTTGTGACGGCGCCCGCCAGGCTCTACCGCCACGACCGCCATATTCCCAGGGGGAGTTCTGGTGCTATTGAAGGCCTACGAAGGTTGGAGGAACGAGTGATATAGAAGGTCCGAACTAAGACGGACTAAAATAAGCTCTAAGCCTATTGAAGGTGTTTGCTCTTATTCATCATATAAGTGAATGGGGATACGAGTAAAGGGATTGGCTAATAGCGACCCGTATGTAGGTTCCGCTATCGCTTGTATAGCTAGGGTATTTATTTGGGTTCGTATATTTGTATTTAGTTCTCTTCCTTTTCTTCTCCTTACCTAAAATCTTCTATTATAGATAGTATTTTAGCTTTGCCTTCGATTCCCCTATCCTGTACCCTTGTATTATTTTAGGTCCCCCCAATCCATACCTAGGAAGGTTAAATTCCAACGATTTGAAATAGAAACCGAAATTAATATTTCAATTAACTATTATAATTTAAGTAAGTGTAATTTATAATAATTACGATAAATATTATAGTACCCCTATATATTTGTAGTAGTATTAGTACTAGAATTGAAGGTTTAGTTAAGAATTACTTTGAAGATGATTATTCTATCAATAATCTTTTTGAAGAAGGAAATTCCGAAGTCAATAACTAAGTCGATGAAATTTCCTACGAAGGAGATGTTAATAACGAGGCAGAAGCTAAATTGTTAGAAGAAATAGAATAAACTACTATTGAATTTAATATTAATAAAAAAAGATTATTATTTACCGAAAGGTTACTCTCAAACCTTAGTGCGTCGATTCTATCATTAAGGAAAATGCGAAATCCTTCATACGCTTCAATAAGGAGTATTTTAATAGTCTCTACCCCCTTAAGGGGAGATCCTATAGCAAATTTACCATTTTCTAAGAGAAGATTTCATTATACTCTTATTATTAATTTAATTCCCCCTCGGAAGTATTAGCCGATGCTCTAACTAAGATTAAGGACGATGAGGAGGAATTTTATTTGTTGTTTAATCTGTTTGATTATTATATTAGTAGCGAGATTGATAAGTATAATATTGTTTTTAATTTAAAGGATATTATTAAGGATTTAAGGGATAAGATAGAGGAGTTTACGGAACTCTTTATCCGGGATGCTGTCCTTTGCGTCCCTTATTACGCTTTATTACTTACTTTAAACCTTCCGTTCTAAGGTTATTTAAACGAAATTAAATTTACCGAACTGTATACTAATTAATCCGCTAATATATTTTAGCAATTTAAATTTTAGGTTATAATAGCTATAGCTTTAAGGGAACAAGTATCGGAATTGTAATAGATTTTTTCGTTTTTGAATATTAAGTTCTATACTATTTATAATTGGGGCTTTAAATTGAAGGAAATTCTTTCTAATATTTTAAATATTAACCCCCGGATGATCTAATGCTTAAAGGACTACTTAATAAATAAAGAGGAAGAAATCTAAATTTTAAAAGAAACAATTACTAAATTGAGTATTTTTAAAGGTATCCGCTAATTTGTAGATAGAATAGCGATTATAGTAAAGGAAACGGTCCTCCCTAGTATTAAGAAGAATTTAGGCACGGCCCCCCTCCGCCGATTAATTACTTATTTTAGAACGATTCTACCCGTTAATAATAGCGACAACGAGGTTATAATTGCCCTCCTCTATTGCGTTCGCTTCTTTACTAAATAGATTAACCCGCTTAAGTTTTATAATTAAAATAAGGAGAACGATATACCTTTCGAGGCTTAGTACAAATTAATTTAAGATAAGCTCGAGATTAATATTGATTACTACTTTACCGACCGCGATAAGTTTTTCTATATTAGTATAGTTTAGCCGGATGTATTTTCAAAGATTTAATACTCTACCTTTACGAAATTTATTTAAATTAACTTACTATTTATTTTAGTTTAATAACCCATTTATAGTATAAACATAGCGATTTTAATTAAAATAATAGGCTTTCGTTAATTTTATAAGATCAAAAATAAAGGATAATAATAATTTTAATCTCTTTAAAAATAAGTTTATTCGTATAATTAATAAATATTAATATTTTAAAATTAAGTAGAAGTACGAACTATTCTAACGCCTTCTTATGGAATATAAGAAGTAGATAAGTGCTAAGTATCGAAATTATTCTATTTCTTTCGAATTTTATTGTATCGATTATTTTAGTTTTAGTTAAGTATTTAAGACTATTATTGAGGAAACTAAGGTTGCTTCTTCCTCTTTTTCGTATAATAAAGGAAATAATAGTAATAAGGGAATTGGAGGCTCTAGCGGTTTTAGCTCTTTTATATTTAAACCCGTTAATAATAGTAGTAAAAATAATTATTCTATAATAGATTGTATTGAAGAGACTATTTATTTATTTAATAAAGGTCGTTGCTTCTTTTATAAGGAATATAATTATATTAAGTACAATTGTCCTTCAAAAGATTAGTACAATTAAGAGTGTTGCGATCGAGTAGTTACTATTAATAAATATTATTTAATTTATAAGATTGGTACTCCGCTTATAGCTCTAGTTAGAGAACCTACTATTACTACTATTAATAATTAGGGAAATTAATTGCTTTAGGTAAATTAGATTCTTTCCGAAGGGAGGTATCGGTTACAGAATAGATAAAGGATAGATAAAAATAAGGAAAGAATAGATTCAATTTAATATCCTACTTAGGAGGGGATTTTATATTTATTTAATATACTATAATTAATAATGGAATATTTTTATTTACATTTAATACCTTAATCAATATAGGAGTAAATAGTTATTTGTTTATCAGTACTATATTTATTAATAAATTGAAAGAACCTTTACTAGTAGAAGCTACGAGCGACTTTCCTATGCGAAGTATTAGTAATTATTAAGGAAAGACTAACTAAGGTATTAGAGAAGTCGTTAAAGCCGCTTTAAAGGTTCGGAATCGAATAATACCCTTCGATTATTTTATTATTATTAATATAAATTATAATATAACTATCGGCCGTAAATAGTTCGACCTCTACGATACTTAGGTAGATTGTAAGAACCGACGATTAATTTTCGCTTTTGAATAGAAATCCGACTATAAATAGATAAGGAATTTTAGTTTTGAAATTTATTCGGGAAGTTTTAGTATAGTAAATTTGGATTATTAGAGGAATATAGTCTACTATAATATATTTATAGAATTAAAAGATAAATAATGGGTTAACGGGAAGAATAATAGCTACCCGGCGTATAGGTTTACGAGTAGATATACGGTTGCTCTAAGGCTTATTCCAGCAGATTAGTTTTTCCCCGACTATCGTTAAAAAGAATTTAGTCAAAAATTTTACAATTAATACTACAGAGAGGTTTAATATTCTTAAAGATAAATTAAGAAACGTATTTACGAATTCGAGGCTCTTTAACTATAATTTTCAAGAATAGTTCTTATTATATTAGCCGATTTTAAATATATTCGAAATAAAGATACTAGCGAGTTCGGTTATACCCGTCCTTATATTTTATTCTAAAACCCTAATTCGATTTTTAAATAGATTAATTTATTAAATAAAATAGAAAGGAATTTGATTAATTTTACTTACTTTATAGTATTAATTATAGAACCTGTATAATCCGCCCGAATTAAGCCGATTGAATTTCGAAATAATAAATAAGGCTTTAATAATTAAAGTACCTATAAATTCAAAAGGGATTCGACGGGATAGTATAAAGAGAGACCGATTTAGATATATATTTTTAACAGCAATCTTTTTACTTACTCGGCCGTTAAAGACTATCGGACGATATATTTTATAAGTATCTTCGAAATCGATTAGTTTATTTAATTTAAACGAATAAATAAGGACCCTATATAGGAATTATTCTTTCGAAACGAAAGAGAATTGCGCGAAGAAGCTTTAAGAACTATACCCCATTGTTATTATAATTATTTCGATGTTTTTAGTAAATATAATTCTAATACGTTGCTAGAATACCGACTTTACGATTATAAGATCGATTTCGAAGAAGGTTACTGATTAAAGGAATTTGGTTATAGCCCTTTTTATGAGATGTCCTCAAACGAGTTAGAGGTTGTAAGGAAGTATATTTTGGAGAACCTATTAAAGGGATTTATTGAAGTTATTTCGTCCCTTTGGGCGGCCTTTATCCTATTTATAAAAAAGGTTAATGGAAGCCTCTGCTTTTGTATTGATTATTGAAAGTTTAATACTATGATTAGAACGGATTGATATCCGCTTCCCTTTATTGAGGAGATGTTGGTCAAAGTTATTAAGGCCTAGTAGTTTATTAAAATTAATATTTGCTTAGTTTTTTATTGTATTTGTATAAGGTTTAATGATAAAGAGTTTACTGCCTTCTATACCAGTATAAGAGCTTTTAAGTATTAGGTACTATTATTCGGGTTAATTAATAGGCCCGTTAGTTTCTAGAGTTTTATTAATATTATATTGGGAGAATATTTAGGCGATTCTTGTACGGCCTATATTAATAATATTTCTATTTATTCGAAAATTTTAATAAATATAAAGATTATATCTGAAAAGTATTAATTGAATTGAAAAACGTTAGTTTGTAGGCCGATTTGAAGAAGTACGAATTCTACATTACTAAAATTAAACTTTTAGGCTTTATTATAGGATATATTAGCTGTCACGGGGCAAGGCGATACTGAACGTATAGGGTAGAATATAACTTGTGTAATTGCACAAGGAAGAAGGGAAACTATGGAACCTGTGTGTAGCGGCTCGTCCTATATAGGCGAGGGTGAGCCGCGTCCTTGGCATACGTAACCGGAGCCTCCGGGAGCGTATGGCCAATTAGGGGGCCCGTATTAGCCTAATAGCCGCTATAGCAATAGTAAGGCTAAACGATTTAGCTAATTAGAGAGTATGTATTAACCGGCAACTATAGCCGTAGTAATACTGCAATTAAATGAAAGTTATAGGCTAGCCCTATAATATTACCCCGGGTTTAAAATACCTTCGGGCGTTAGAATACATAGAAGAGAAATTACTAATCCTCTTCCCCTAGGGATTTAAAACGTTCTATTACTATATTTATAACCTTTTTAAGGGTATTTATAGCCGGTATCGAATATCGAAGCGACCGTCTTATAGCCGGTACCGCCGTTAATAGTCCCGGACTAGCGCGGTTATAGGCTTTATTTAAGGCTTAAGCGGCGCATTTACGCCTCTTCTCTATAGTAGTCTATTGTAGAAGGACGGGGGATTCCGGGTTATTAGTATGAAATTTATAGAAAATTTTAATATAATATTCTATATTATTAATTAATTCCCAAATTAGTACGTATAGTTTGCCCTAAACGATATAGTATTACTATCTACTATCTTTAAAATAATAAGTATTAATTCCCTTAAAGGACTATTCAATTATATTTTCAATATTATTAATATATTTTATTACCCTCCTCTAATTAATCCGGATATCCTACGTACTATCTTACCCCGGTATACCTTCCTTTATTTACGGCCTTACTATACTAATATAGAAAGTACGTCCGTACTTTATATTTAATAGTAAATTAAATATAATTTAATAGCTATCGGCTATAGCTACTTTGAAAGGCCCTTCCTATAGGAATAATAGTTTTGCCTAAGGGCGGCTAATAATAAAGTTAATAGTATCAAGGAGTGTTTTATTTTTAGGGTAGTATTATAATATATTAGAACGATAATTATTAGTACTCTCCTTATAGCGCGCTTATATATATTTCGCTATTACTATAATTTTATTAAGGACTTTCCTAAACCGTTTAATAATTTCGCCGGCCTTAAAATACTCTCTATACGTTATAGGTCCGAAAGGCCGGGCGGGTAGGGCTATAGAAGTTCGACGCCTATTTATAAGTAGAAATTATAATTAGCGAAGAAGGGAAAGACGTCCGTCGAGTTTAAGTTAGTATTATTATTTACGAATTCAATAAGAGGTAACTAGTTAATTTAATTATCCTAGGCCTAATTTACGTAGGTACGGAGGTAATATTCTATTTCTATATTAATATATTTTATTCATTTGTTAATTTATTAATAGAACGCTGAAGATAGCCGTAGTATAATACCTAACCTTATAGAAAGTATTCTCTAAAACTATAATTCGAATTAGGAGCCTCTATTTAATATAATAGTATTTAGTAGCCCGTAAAGTACAAAGACCTTATTTATAAAGTATTTAATAAATTTACTAATTATTAATATTTCTTCTAGGATATAGTACCGTATTTTAATTAACTTATTAATAACGATAGTAATATATCAAAATTCCCGGCCTCCTCTCTTATACGGGGTTATAAGCGTAATATAGTCTATAGCAATATCCTTCTATAGTACGAATAATACTAGTAGCGGCTTTAAAAGGCCTACTAGGGAAGAGCGAAAATATTTCGTTTTCGTATATTATAAATATATTTTATAGTATAATTATACTACTCTATTTATACCAAGCTAATAGAAAGACCTATTCAATATTATATATATTTTATCCCGTCTTTAGTAATTTACCGGCGTAGATTTGTAATAGTACTAAATAAACTATAATTAAAGGGCGGTACCGGCGGGGTCTAAAATAATTACCGAGTACTTATACGTTCGTCCGTTAATAATATAATACTTAACGAACGCTACCTTCCTTATTTTATAAGAAATAGTTTTAAATTACTTATAACGGCCTAGGTCGGTAATAGCGGCGATAATATCTTAGTAAAATATAAAATTACAATAATTAACTTCAACTAGTTCGTCGGAAGATATTTCTTCCGTACTAAACTTATAAAAAGTAATATAATTTACAAATAAAAACGGATCGAAGAGGGTTTTATTCTTAATTAATAATTAATTATTATTTATATTATCAAATATATCCTCCGGCTTCTAATTTAGTACATTAGATCGTATTTAAAGAGTACGCGGCCGATATTTAATTATAAAATTAAATTAGGAGAGGAAATATAATTAGTATATATATTAGGACGTAAACTTCTTATTTATTATAAGAATTCATAGACCATAGTAATCTATTAGAATTTTAAAACCGTTTTAGGCGCCTTAGAATTCTAGGGACTACTCTTCAAATATCTTAATAATAGTTAGTAGCTCCTTATTGTAAATATTATAATTATATTCGGTTATAAAATACTTTTAGGAGAAGTAGGCTATTAGGTAGAAAACTCCCTCGTTATTGTATTGGGATAGTATATTGCCTAATACCTAATTCGAGGCGTCTATCTCTACGACCGTCGGCTTCGATTAATTGAAAATTTTAAGGATTAGCTCAGTAGTAAATACCCTCTTTATTTCCTTAAAGGCTATTTATTAAATTTCGCCCTAGGATTATATAACGGACTTTTTACTTAAATCATATAAGGGGGCTATAATAATAGAGAAATAATTAATAAAATACTTATAGAAATTTATAAAACCTAAGAAATATTAAAACTATCGTTATAATTACGGTACCTCCTATTCAACGACGGCCCTCACCTTCTCCGGACCTATTTTAATACCTCTTAATATAATAATTAGCCCGAAGTATTTAATTTACTTAATATTAAATTTATACTTATTAATATCTAATTAGAGGCCTGCATCAATTATATACCGCAATAATTCATCTATATATATTATATATTTATTTTTGTTCTTAGAATATACTAAGATATTATTAAAATAGGCGGTAGTATAAATATCTAAGATATTAAATAGTATATTATTAATATAGTTTTAAAAGGTGCTTAGGGTACCTTATAATCCGAAAGGTAGTGTAAGGGATTCGTAGAGGCCGAACTATATAATAAATATAGTAAGCTACTTATAGCCCTCCTCAATACGAATATAATTGAATATTATTATAATATTGAGTTTTATAAAGACTTTAGTATAGCAAATTACATTTAAAGTTTCCTTAATAAATAGGAAGGAGTAACGAATTTTAGGGTTATATTATTAATACCTTAATAATTAATATAAATACAGACTCCGCATCCTAGCTTTTTAATTAATAATAATAGTAATACTACTACGGATTTAAAAGGTCGGATAAACCCTTTATAAAATTAATTGTCAATTTATTTTTGAATAATAGAGGCCTCTATTAGGGATATTATTTAATAGCGGGCATTGGAGGGCCGTTCCTCCGGGGCGAATTCGATTTTATAATCGTAAGTACGCAAAGGGGGGAGTTCTCTAATATTTTAATCATAGAAAGCTTTAATCTTATTCTAGTATTTTTAAAGGAGTTTAGCCTTAATTTCTTTATTAATTTTAATTAAATAGTCCGCCTTTTTATAGAACTTCTATATATCCTCTTCCGTAATTTTAATTATAATAGTTTTATAAATTACTATATTTTTATCTAAATATTTCAAGAGAGGTGCGGCGTTAGTAATAATTACGGCTTATAGTTCTTTAGGTTCTATATTTCCTATATAAATATCAATATACCTATAGAAGTATTTGAATAATTCGGCCTTATACTATTACCCCCGGCCTTTATAAATATTCCGTACTATCTATTCTAAAAAGTCGTTATATAATTCGCCTTTGTAGAGGATTACGAATTATTCGAATTCTATATAGGTTATAAAGTATAATTATAGATTCTCCTATTTATAAAACTAATTAAACGCTATAATATTAATATTCGTAATATTTATAGGATCTACCTATTCGTCGGCCGCTAATAGATATTTTTTAATAATTATTCCTATAGCCGGAGGGTTATTCCCGCAATATAATTTCAAATAAAGTAGCCGGAGGTCGACGGAATTATTATTTTCAAATAATAGTATAACTATATTTAAGAAACCGGTTACTAATTATTGTACTCTATAAAAGAATAGCCCCCGGAGGGCCGGTAAAGGGTTTTCCATCCCGTCCGGACGGCCGGGAGATACTATTTTTATTTTCCTAATATTAGTAGCTAATTTAATTATATAATTCCTAATTCTAATCGAGGGCGGGAAGTTTACTATATTCTCTTAATTGGGCTTTTTAAGTTTAAAAGCTTTATTAGGCCTATAATAGGGTATAGCGGTAGAAATTATATATTTCCTATCCGACTCCTCCGGCCCGTTAGTTTCAACGGGCTTATAATAGGGCGTTTTACATATTACTAACCCGGCCTTACTATACTAAATTCCTACCGGTTAATCCTCTGAATTTATATTTATTAATTTCCTAATTTCGGTTCTAATTTAATAAACCTCTATTTTAGTCTTTATACTATTCGTAGTCCCGTCGGGTTTATAATCGGATTCCTAATATTATTTAAACTTCCCGGCCCTAATAATAAAATTGATAGGAATTTTATATATTTTCTTAATATAATTTACTATTTCTATTTAAGGTTTTAGGGAATTTATAAGGGGGGGGGGGGGGGGGGTTAATTTATTAGAACCGGTTCTAAATAGTAGATTATAATAGGTCGTTTAAGTACAGGGAGATTGGATTAAATAGTAAAGCGCTTAAAATACCCTTATTCAACAACCGTTTTTAGGAATTGAAAATTAAAGGAAATACCCCCGTCCTTATAATATAATTTCCTATTTTCGTCTAATATCTAAAGGAAGTAAGGCTATCATTTATTTACTATATTATTTTTTGGGTCGCTAGCCTAATAATATTAGGGAAGAAAGGTATAGTAATTAACGCTTAATACTACTCTTAGAAATACTAATAACCTAATAAGGAAGTACCTAATATTATATTTATTAAAGAATACAACCTTTTTATTAATTTATAAAATAAATAGTTCGTAGTACTTTAATTATAATAGGCTTAAAATTACAATGTAAATTAATAAGAGGTTGTATACTAAAAAGACAACGGCTTTTATATAGTACTCAATAAAGAAGTTCTTTGCTAAACCTTCGGTGATAAAACCCTTTATAATATTATCGGCTAGTATAAGATTTTTAGGGTAAATTAATTTGAATACAATAAGGCCGTTCCGCCTTATAAAAGTACAATTTAAGAAAGTTAGAATAAAATAGGCGCTATCAACGAATATAATATATAGTATTTTATACAATCTAGATAAGAGATAAAAAGAGAGGAGTATTTAATTTTAACTAAAATTATCTAGTAAACTAATAACGATTATTTCGAATATCTCGTTAGTATTTTGAAATTCTCCTATATAGACCCTTAGTACCTCTATAAGTAATTATTTATAAAATTTGGCCATTTCCCTAACTATTAGTACTAAATATATTATATTCATTTTCTTTACTCCCGCCTCCTTTAATACCGGTAGCCCGCAAATTAGTATTACTATAACTATACTAGCCGGGGGAGGGTCGGCTAATATTAGAATAGGCGCTGCGCCCTCCGTAGTTACTTCGGCCACCGCAACTTCGGTAAATATAATTATTATAAAATCCGGTATATTGTAGGGGTTTACCGCTATAATCAATATTATTCTTATAATTATATATAATATAACCCTCTTAATTATACTTCCTATAAAGGCCTTCCTTTATCCGTTAATTAATAATATTAAAATAAATAGTTCGGGATATATAAATCGTAATAAAACTTATAGTATCGCTGCCCTAATTAATAGTATAGTTTTTAAATTTATTCCTATTCCTAGTGGAATTATTATTATTACCATTTCCGCTAGATTTACTAATTTATAATTAGTTAATTTTAATATAATATTCATTATCCTCCAAATAGCGCGCTAAATTTCTATAAATGGCTAGCCAACTTTCAAAGTCATTGTCCTTCGAATATTAATGTTAATTAGAAATTATTATAAGGAATTTAATCAAAATCTTATTTCTAAGGTAATAGATTTTTTTAATATTATTAAATTAGTAGCAGTCAATTATTTTACCGAACTTAATCTCGAAATTTATAAAAAACCTATTACTCTATTCATATTCGTTAAAACGCCGTACCATATTAAGTCTTAAATCAATATTACTATAGTAGGAGTTTAAAAAATTAATAAACTCCCTATTTATTTACTACTTTTAACGTTCGGGCGTATTAAATTAGAGTAAAATAATTATAAAATCCTTCTCGAAGGTAATAGTTACCTTAGGACTTAATAAATAATTTATATAAAGGATTTTAGTACATTCGTTAGGGAAGCGGAAACAATCCAGCTCCCAAACTATTAGGATCCTGCTTTTCTAAATAATATAAGCCTTATTGTATAGAATATGATTCTTTTAATTAGCTATAAACGGGTTAGGGTCGGAAAATAACGCCTTTCTAAAAACGGTCGTAGCTTTAAGAGGAGCCCCAATAATACTAATTAAAAAGGCGGCCCCCGAATTATATCCTAATACATTTCCGCCTCCCGTACCTAATCTACCGTTAGTACAACTACTCTTACTTCTATTAGGGTCCTAATTAGTTATAATACTTTATATTTTTAGAACTTTATTAAAATTTATTTTAAACCTTTTATTTTTCGTTTTCTCTATATAGAATTAATTTTTAAACTTTCTGAACTAATTTATAAGGCTATTATTAAAGAGGTTAAATATTTAGACTATCTGAGCGATTAGGGAAATAATAGAGCGGAAAGTACTATTATTTATAAAGATAGTAATATTAATAAAGGACCCTCTAAAGGTTTATAAAAGTCTAGATTTATTTTCTATAATAGTATTAATAAAGTATTCAATAGCCTAATTACGCAATACGCCTTCTAATATAATTAAATAAACGTCTTTATTTATTAGTAATTCGGAATTCTCGGACTCGCTATCCTAGGAAGCGTCTAGGACGTTAATATCTTTATTTAATACTTCTAGGAGGGTACCTTCGTCGGTAATAATAATATTATTATTAAGAGCTATAGGCTCTATTAGATTCAATAAATTACAGGAGTCCCAACGACTAATAGCATTATGGAATAGTATTAAAACTCGTATTTCTTCCTTATAATAAAGTACGTTCGTAGTATAATAATAAAGTACAATTAATTATTACAGGGTAAGGCGATATTAAACGTATAGGGTAGAATATAATTTGTATAATTATATAAGGAAGAAGGGAAATTATAGAATTTGTACGTAGCGGTTTGTCCTATATAGGCGAGGGTAAGCCGCGTCCTTGGTATACATAACCGGAGCCTCCGGGAGCGTATAGCCAATTAGGGAGCCCGCGTTGGCCTAGTAGCCGCTGTAGCGATAGTAAGGCTAAACGAATTAACCAATTAGAGAGCGTATATTAACCGGCAACTATAGCCGTAGTAATACCGCGACCAGATGACAGTCACAGGCTAGCCCTGTGACATTAGCGTTTCGGTCGATTTAGAGAAGGTAGAAGTTATTAAAGAGTAGGCGGTACCTTCTAATTTTAGAGGAGTATAATTTTTCTTAGGTTTTTATAATTTCTACCGAAAGTTTATTCAAAACTATAGTAAAGTAGTTCAGCACCTTACTAATTTAATTAAGAAGGGTAAAGTATTCGTATAGACCGAAAAGTATTAAGCGGCATTCGATGGATTAAAGTAATCATTGATAGACGTTCTATTATTGAAATACTTCCGCTACAATACTTAAATTAGGGTTAAAATAGACGTTAGTAATAGAGTCTTTGCGGGAGTCCTATCCTGATATTAGAAAAATACGAAGGAATAGTATTCTATTACCCACTTTTTAAAGACTATATAATAGGTAGACTATAATTACCCGATTTATAATAAAGAATTATTCGTTATTATTAGAGCCCTATAAATTTAGCGACCCGAACTCGTCGGTTTGCGGTAGTCGAAGCTTTTTATTATTATTATTTATTATTAAACACTCGAATATTTTAGTACGAAACGATTCTTTAATTTGTATAGTCTAAAAGTAGAATTTTCGCTACTCTCTTCTAATCTTTCCCCCTTCGTACAATAATACGTCTTTTCCAAAGTCCTTATTAGTCGGCATCGTGACAATAGTAATAGCAAAAAGCAACGAGGTAGGCAAAAAACTTATTGTAATTCTTGATAATTATTGAGAAGAGGGGGTTATCCGCCAGTATAATCCATATTATATCACGATTGATGGAGGAGGCGTTGGAAGCGAGGCTAGAAGTTGAGGAGGTCGATGCACGATGAGGGCGCTTACTAGAGGATATTTATAGCGATTGATTAGTATAGAAATCAGTTGAATACGATAACTTCCTGTACATCGTGGGTAATATTGATAGATATAGTATAGAGTATTAGTGTAAATATATGTAGATTGTAGTGCTGGCGCTAGCTGGTGCAACTGTGTGCAAAGTACTAGTGTAATTGGCCGTATAAAAAAAAGGGAAAAGAAATAACCACATTAGAACAATATTGTACATTATTCAAAAGACGAAATTTTGCGAGTAAAAACGGAGATTTCAATATTAGGTGTCATTAGCTGAACCGCCCCATTTTTCTTTGTGAGGGTGCGTACATGGAGGTTTTTGGTGCGTGTAGAGAGGTTATCTCTCCCCTAATTACAATATAGAGTTGGAGGAATGTAATAAAGAGTATCTTAAGGATTTAAAGTAACGTAATACTCGAATTATAACAACTAATAAAGTTAAAGCGGGATTTCATCCTTTACTAAATAAGGTTACTAAAATAAGGTCCGTACTATTCTTTATATAGTAGTATATAGTTTACTCTTCTAATATTATAGAATTTACTTGTGCTTAGTCCATTCTATATAGCTAGTTTAGGAATATATAGGAAAACGTAGTTTTGTAGATTAAGGGGAAGTTTTTGCTTTACAAGGAGGAGTAAGCCGGCTATTTTATTAAGAATTACTTTAATTAAGGGTGATAAATGACGTTACTAAATAAATTTAAATTACTTTAATTAAGGGTAATAAATAACGTTACTAAATAAATTTAAAAATAGTCCCATTAAAAGTTATAGTCTGTTAGTTCGTAGTAGGTTAGTTGAGCTCTATAAGGCTTGTCTCTAGTATGTAAATTACTATTATAAGGTGTATATCGATTTATTAGCGAAGTCTAATAGTTATATATGTTTCAGGTTGACATTGGTTTATAGTGTGCATTACGTGTTCTGCCTTGCAAGCAGAACATCGTCCTATCTTTTAGGTTTGGCTAACTAGGCATATGCACCCTAGCCTATTATAATATATATATAAAGTAGGTTGATTGTAAGTAGAAAAGTAATTGCCTGTATAAGTTATTTACGTGAATAATTAATTTTACAGACTGTTAATACTATAAATTTCATATAATACTACCCTCTATATGGTTGAAGTTCCCTAGTATCCCTCTAAAGCTTTATATAGGGAGCTTTAGAGCCTAGTATAGATTACTTTGTACTTATAAAATGGAAGTGTTATTAAAGGAGGAGGGTAAAACGGCCTTGGTAATTAAGGAAGCTTACTATCTATTTTGGTACTTATATCAATAATATATATATTATTGTTTATATTCCGAGTGACTTTTATATTAACTACTATATTGGAATATATTAAATAAATATTTTGGATTTAAAGTAGCTGCTAGAGTAATACCCAGTGAGTAACCCTCCGCACACCCACCCCATTCCCTACATCACCTTCTCCCGAACATCATCTTTCAGAGACGGCTTCGGCCAATTAGAGACGAGCATTCGAGAATTAACCATCCTTAGGCCTAGGTAACCTAGGAATAGTCGCTATTCTACGACCAGCGGACGCGCGCGCGCGCGTCCAATTCGATAAGACGGCTACGATGGCGCCCTTTAAGGACGATATCGTCGCTACAATCCGCAAAGCAAACGAGGAGCTCATCGAGAGATTCTAGGCGTAATTTGAAGTCGCGGAAATTACTATTAAGGCTATCGACGAAGTTTACAAAGGCTTTAAAATACCCGCTTAGAAGAAGGCGGTAGCCCCCTTTAGGGAGGAGCTCTATGCCCTCCTCTCTTCCTTCTTCCAAGTTGATACTACTAGTAGAACAACGCCCCCTCCCGCCTACCCAACGATACCCAACTAATGCAACTAATTAGGGTCCGCGATTAAATGCACATAGAAAGACTTACCTCCGCCCCTTACTTTAATTACCCTAGATATATCCCTATTTACCCCTTACGTAGGCCCTACCCTAATTAAATAGAAGGAAATATAGGCGCCTACTAAGGCCGCTACGAAATAGACTGCCTGGTAGGAGGTTAAATTAAAGAATAATAAGAAGGTTAAAAAGACCGGTCCGATTCCCGCCGATAATTATACCTATACTATTACCCCCACCTATAAAAATAGCTATAGGACTTTCCTTAGATTCGTATTGGACGCGGAACTTCGGAAAGCGACGCCCAAAGGAATTATTTTATATATTATAGAGGAAGTGAAATTCCCCTACTAATAAATTAAATACGTTTATTCCGTTTAATTTAGCTTTTGTATTGAAACGGTCAAATTAGACTAACGATAACTATTAGTAGATTTTAGTAAGGATACCCCCTAATATGTTATCGAACCCGAAACTAATATAGTTTTATACTATTTAGCTAGTATTCCGCCCAAATTCTACGCTTATAACAGCGCTAGAAATACGGAACTACTCGTCGCTTAGGAAATTTAGGCCGCTACTAAATAAAATACTAAAATTATTAAAAGAAAAAAAGCTGGGGATTATATTATAATCCTTAATAAGAAGACCTAACCCTTCTATATTTTCGGGTCGGAGCCGGCCCGGTTAATAAAACGGAACCCCCGTATTTATACGTACAAAAAGTACTTTGGCGCCTACAATATAGTTAAATATACCTTCGCTACAGTTTGTAGGAATTGTAGCACACCTAAGACTTCGTATAAGGATATATACAAACTAATTCCCTAGTACCCTAATTACTTAGGACCCGAAAAGCTAAACTATACCGACTACCCTATCTTTTTAAAAATTAGAGACGGATATATTAAAAAACCCTCCGCCGAATAGTAGGTAGGAGCCTAGAAGGCCAAAAAAGCTATATATAGAATCGCTATACGAAATTTAAAGAAAGGAAAAGAACCTACCGGCCTTATAAAAAGTAATATAATTAGAATAATTAACTATAAGAAACTAGAAGGAGAGAAGGTTAAGGATAGCCCCGAAAGGGAGAATAGTCTAATTATTATAATTAATAACGATGGGGATACAACGTTAGAGAATTCTCTGCCCCTAGACTCCCCCCGGGCCTCCCTAGCCCCGGCCTTTCCGGCCCTAATTTCCCTACCCTATACCCTATCCCCGCCCTCCGCCCCGATTAGAATACTGGGCTCTATAGCTTCCCTTAGCCCAAATAGTAAGGTTAAAGTATAGTAGGAAAATTCTAAACGCCGCTTCTAAATTACTAAGGGATTAGGAAACTTAATAAGTAATATAAGTAATAAATCAACGGAGGCTAAACCCTTCATATTCAATTAATTATATAGCCGGACTAGATTTATAGGCTATAGCAAAGGAAGAAAGCCTTTAGAAACTTAGAGTAGCCTATTTAAAGGCCGTTTCCTAGTAGTATTTAATACCCCTCCTACTATCCTTAAGACCTTTAATATCCGTTCTCTACCGCCCCTCCCTAAAAATAAATAGGATACCTCCGCCGACAGTAGGCTAAACGTTAGAGAAACTAGCCCCGACCCCTTCGCTTAATAATAAGTAAACTAAGGGTTATATCTATTAATATTTAAAAGTCCCTAACGAATATAGACGGTATTCTTAAATAGGCAATTATAAGCCGGACCCTAATAGTTTACATATAGGAACCTACTATAATCTAAAATAGAATCTGCAAATACCCCGGCTATTATAATATCGGCCTTGATAATTAAGAAATAACAGCGGCGATATATATTACGAAAGTATATAACTTTATTATACTAGTCAATTCTTAATTATATATAATAATAGTAATAGTTAATAATATTAATATTATTTATATATATTAGTACCTATAAAATAGATAGGCGGAACCGGCTAAAGAATATTTACCGATAATCTATTTATAATATACCCTTGTAATAGGAGACTTCAATATTTACTATTCTACTTAAAACCCTTAGTTCTAGAAATCTAATAAAGGAAACGCCCTTAAGGAAACTATAGTAATATAGGGCCTTAACCTCCTAAATACGCCCAATATACCGATATATAAATACACAAATAGGTAATTTACTTTAAACCTCGTATTCGGTATTGAAACGGTATATATAAGAGTAAACGCGTAGGTTTTAGACTACTATAAATTTATTATTATAATCCTAGCGAAAAAGAACATTCTTCCTCTCAAAAAATATACCCTCCTACCTATAAATACGGAGGATATATATTAAACTTTAATAAAGCGTTTACTTAAAGTAATCCTAACCCTATAATCGCCCGAAGAATTTAATAACCTTATATAATCCTTCGTAAATACCCTTAAAGGTACAATTAAAGAATACTCTATTATACTCAAAGGGAAATTAAAAAGTATACTATAATAGAATAAATTCTTAGTAGAAACGAAGGACGAAAATCCTAGGGCGTATAAATAGATTTTGAAAGAAAGGCGGACGGACTTCTACTATAATAAAATTAATATTACTAAATCCCCTAAGGAGCTAAGAAATATACTCTAATAGCGAAAAGACCCTTTAGATAATAGACCGACCCTAATTAATATATAAGACGGGAGGCTAATAAATTTAAAGGATATTACAATATACCTAACTATAATAATTTTCCGCCCGGTAGAATAAAACCCCCTCCCCTTATACTAATATTATAGCCTAATATTCTTATAGGATATTGTATAATAGGTTCTAAATATTCTATTAGATAAAGAAATCCGGGAGGCCTTTTTAAAGTATAGTTCGAATACCTTCGGACTGGATAGTATTACCCTATTTACCCTTAAGGATAATTGGGAACCAATCTTCCCTATTATTTATACTATTACATATACTTCGCTAGATATAGGTAAATTCCCGGCGGCTTTCAAGCGGGTATAAATAATTACCCTCTTTAAATTGGGAAGAGACCTATATAATTATAAAGGATAGAGATTAATTGTACTACTATTAATAATAAGTAAAGGAATCGAACGTTTAGTTGTTAGAAGAATAATTATAATTACCTTCAATACCGAATTTATTCCGAAGGATACGGCCGGGGTAGTATTAACCTAGTTTATAATAAACCTAGTAATAACCCTAATTTATAACGCCGAAGGAACTAACCGACTCGGACTATATAGGATTATTACTATATTCGATATCGATTTAACCTTCCCGTCTACGCGGATAAACAAACTTAATAAAGTCCTAACCGGCCAAAAATAATTACCCCTCCTAACTATACTAATTATAGATTTCTATACGGATAGAAGCTTTATATTTAAATAGGTTAAAAAACGCTTCTATTCGAATAACGGGCTACTATAAGGTTCCCTATAATCCCCCATCCTCTTCCTACTATTTATAACCTCCTTACCTAAGAAATACTAAGGATTGGCCTTCTTATATACGGATAATATTACCTACTTTATAGTAGGCTGTAATACTATATAAATACTATATACCACTTTATATAGAGTAGCGGACCTATATAAGTAAGCTACCGACCTAGGCCTTAAGGTAAACTATAGGAAGATAGAAGTATTCTACCTATTACCCTATAGTAGAAATATAGAGAAGATTTAGCGGAACCTAATTAGTACTATTATAAATATTCTATTTAGCCCAGTATAATTATAAAAAGAAATATATTAATTAAGTATCACTTAAACACTAAGCTCTTACTTACTATATAAGTCCGGAAATATATACTTAAATCGATAATAGTAATAGGACTATCGGCGAAAATTAACTAAGTCTCCTAAGGCTTTACCCTATACTCGGCCAAACAATTCTTCACTTCCTACTTTATATTAATACTAGTATATAGAATAGCGGTATTATTCCTAGGGTATACTAAGCCTAAAAAAAGAGGCAACCTAATATTTACCAATATTAGAATTACTTTATACGAATTAAAAATAGCGGCGTTAAAAATATTTAGAAAGACTATACCAATTTAGCGTATAGTACCGAGGTAAATCCCCTTCTAACTAATAGATATAGTACTACTAGAAATTATAGGAAAAGAAATAGTAAAGATAGTAATAAAATTATATATACTCCTAAGCAATTACCTACTTACGTAGAGACTAAGGAAACCCCTTCCTAAAAGGTAATTTAAACTATACTCCCTCGTAGAATTATAATTCCCGCTAGAGGAATTATTAAATAAAATATAATACCCCCAGTTACTAGCCCTCTATAATTAGTTTACGCCCGGCTCCGAAAAATAAAACTACTACCCTAAATAGTAGGTACTACTACCCTAAGCCAACCCCAACCTATAGTAGGCCGATAATAAACTTTATAGCTTTACTAATCTATTTTAATATAAAAATAATAAATATATACGTTAGATTACTATATAAATACCTAGCGAAATAGGTCGGAGAACGAATAGGGTACTAGGACTTCTATTTATACTATAACTATTTCAATTATCCCCCTAAGACCTTCCGGTACTACTTTTGCAGTACGGCCTACGAAAAGGGGCACTTCTTCGTCTACTTACTAATTATATACTGTAATCCGAACGTAGTATAAAATATACTAATAGCCTTCGGGATTAATTATACTACATTTTTCGCAAAAGTATAAGCCCTTAAGGACGAGCGATATATATACATCCGGGTTATATAAGGAGGAGGTTACGAAAGGGATAAGGATAGTACGTATTGAAACTCCCAATCCGGACGACGAGCTACTACTATACGTAGTGCTACT